TGCAAAGTACTATGCAATATCCTAACTACATACTGTGCTTTCTTTGAGTACTGATCATTCCTGTTCGTCAAAGGATCACCACAGAATTTTAGAATTAGTACTGTATGCATTACTCTTTGTATTATTTACTTCAATGTGATCATATGCAATAATTCAAACCACATTTAGAAGACTAAAGAAATACACTTTTAATAAATATTTAATTTCAGATAATTATAAGTTTGCTCTTATTCATTGTATAAATAGTGTGCCTTTCTGAAAGCATTGTAATAAGGATTCAGGTTCTCAAGAAGCAAATCTAGCATTTTATCTCTGGAATCTTAGTATGCTTCATTTTCTACATAATGTAGTCCTTGAAATGAAGACTGTTAAATATAATTGTTAAAACAGAAGGTCCCCACCTTTTCTATCAGTATTAAGATCCTATGCATTTACACAGATGTATTCTATTCTATTGTTATTTTTTTTCCATTCAATCATGTCTGGTTCTTGGAGACTGCCTAATTAAGTCCCTGAAGTTTTTTTGGCAAGGCTTTTCAGAAGTGGTTTGCCACTGCCTGCTTTCTAGGGCTAAGATGCTAAATGCAGCGGCCCGCAAGGTTTTGTGCAGGCCCCAGTGTGCACATGTGTCACCTCTCTTGCGGGACCTGCATTGGATACCGAATTACCTCCGGGTGCAATTCAAGGTGCTGGTTGTCACCTTTAAAGCCCTTCATGGCTTGGGACCAGGTTATGTGAGTGACCATATCTTGCAAGTCACATCTACCCAACACATCAGAACAGGGAGATGGAGAATGCTGCAGGTCCCATCCCTGAGGGAGATACACCTGGTGGGACCCAGACGAAGGGCCTTCTCCATGGTGGTTCCCTCTCTCTGGAACATCATTCCCCTCAGAGATTAGAATGGCCCCCATTCTGATACTCTTCCGGAAAGCACTGAAGATCTGGTTTTGCCAGTGGGCCTGGGGAACCCAGAGCTGGATGGAGCCCATTAAATGGTTTGTGTGATCTGTTGTCACTGGGGCGGGGGGGTGGCAGGTGGGGGGTGATTTTGTTATATTTACCCATATTAATTTATTTGATTCTTTTTGTTAGTTTTATTGTTTTAAATGTGGTTTTATATTCTGTAAGCTGCTTTGAGTCACCATGGCGAACAGGCGGCAATATAAATTCAATAAATAAGTAAGTAAACAAATAAATAAATAAGAGAAAGTGACTAGCCCAAGGGCAGCCAGCTGACTTTGTGTCTAAAGGGCATTAGAACTCAGTCCCTGGTTTCTAGCCTGATGTCTTAACCACTACAGAAAATTGGGTCTCATATTCTTCTATAAACTTTATTTCCCATATTTCCTTCAAAGAACTGGAAGCATATGTAGATCTTTATATTCTGTTTTATATACTTGACTTTTCAAGTAAAAACAAACTGAAAAATGTCTATGGAGATTCTCAGTCATCCACGTCATGGTTGTCCCAAAGGTGCTTTTTCAAGAGCCAACTGGACTTTCTTGCTTTTCTTTGGAGATATTTCATTTCAGAGCTGAAGTAGCTTCTTGGATGAGAAGCGAAATGTCTTCAAAGAAAAACAAGGAAGTCCAGTTGCCTCTTGAAAAAGCACCTTTGGGAAATTGAAATATGGTTGCTGATTCAAAGTTGTCTCACATTTCATTAGGTAATTCTGAACCTGGATCTCCATGCTTCACTCTGACATTTAGCTACTGTACTTAAGACACTGAAAATACAATCCTAGTTTATATGACACAAGGCCAACAAGTTTCCCCATTTACTGTATTATAGAAAAGTTGTCAATTGATCCTGGGAGGGAGACACATTGGCAGGTTATTGCTTTTCCTATTAAATATGTATAGTTTATTTGAACTTGTGCAGCCACCTACCATTTATTTTTAAGAAACCCTTCGAGATCTATAAATGCATAAAAAACATTATTGGAAATACAGGATATGCTTCCGGAGAGTGTTTTATTTGCAGTATTAAGTTCCCATTCAAATAATAATAATAATAATTATTATTATTATTAATTATTGTTGTTGTTGTTGTGCTGTCCAGCCAGTGTATGGGAATTGGATAGTTAGGTAGCAATTATGAGCTGTTCCCTTAAGGGAATGCATCATGTAGTTAAGGTATCCTGGGAAATGTAGTCCATGTCACATGACCACATCTGTAATCCTAATTGGTCACTAAATTGACCCTCGATGGGTTGGGGGAGTTTTCCTCACTCTTGAACTCATGGACTCGTGGTAACTGTTCTACTTTTATCGTTACAAGATAGGAGAAAAAGGATAGGAGATAAACCATCTTTTTACCTACAAGACAGATATGCAAAGAATTGGTCATTAAAGAAGAACTTCATCACAAATGTGAGTTATGAAGATACCTGATGAACCAATAACAGTACTTTGTTATGGATATTTTGTGGAGCTTATCTATCTGCATCTGTACAGGATACAGAATAGTAAAAAGATGGTTATTTGAAGTCCTGAAGCCCATCGGTATAAAGACTGTTAATTTGGATTTGTGATAAAGCAAAGTAATGTTGAAGCCAGGAGTGAATGTGCAAGGCTAAGCTCTGTGCCTCAGTTTGAATTGCAGGGAGGGGCAAGAATCTCCCCCTTCCCCTTTTACGCAAGATACTTTTCAAATATCCTATGCGCTGGCTTTCAAAGGCAATCAAATTTGCCTCTTTCGATCCTTTTCTCTTCCTTTACTGAGGCAGGATTCCTTTGTCTTCGTATAATAATGATGATGATGATAACAAACAATAATAATAATCAGACTTGAATTCCCTGACTCTACAAAAAACTACCCTACTTGGAACAGCTTATATCCTCTGACGCTACCTGAACAGTTCCTAGGTTCTTGGTTAGGACTCGAGCTGTTGAGCTACCAACCAGCCCCAAAGACTAAATCTCACTAAAGATTAACCAATAATAATAATAAACATAGGGCAGAGGATTTGGGTTGAAAAGTATCAGCTGGCACTTTTCTGAGGCCAAAGGAACAATGATCTTAAACCACAGCAAGTGGGGCTGCATGCAGAGCCCAAAATCATTTTTTGTAGCTTGAAGTATTTTGTAGGCACTGAATTTGTAAAACTATTATATATCTACTACTAGAACTAATATTAAAATATTATTAAAATAATGGTTAATGAAAAACACTGCAGACTAAATGATTGAAAAATCTTTTTTACACTTTTTAAAATGTAAATATATTAACATTCAGTGACCTATCCTGTTTGTTTCTTTTGTACAGATAGTCCTCTCACTTATGAAAACAACTGAACCCAACATTTCTGTGGTTAAGTGACATTACAAAGTGAGTTTTGCCAAGGTCACAACTGTGAAAAAACGGTCATGTCACTTTTTTCAGTTGTAACTTTGACAGTAACTTTGTAGCCTGTCACTAAGTGAACTGTTATAAGTCAATGACTGCCTGTAGTTCACTTTTATTATACACATATCTAATAAAGCATCGTTTTTGAGCTAGTGATCATACATTTGTGAAGATTCTGCAACCTGATTTACAGCATGAGTAACTTATGTTATCGAATGTGTTGTGTATCAGTGTATCAACAATATCTTTCAACATGTGAAAAGTGCCCCTGAACGAGACTTTCGTTTATTATTTTCTTGAAAAATGCGTGTTTCACTGACAGGAGCAAAAAAAAGCTTAACTACTCTGCACGCCAATCCCCGTGTTTTTTTTAACAACCTTCCTTGCACTGACAGGTGTGAGAGAGAAACTCTAGCGAAACCACTGAATCGGTGGCCTGACGCCAACCCCCATTTCACCGATTCCCAGAAAGCTCAAGCGTCTCTAGGCGTTACATAAGACTTTCATTAAATGGAGGCAAAAGCGGAACCTCGCTTTCCACATCCGAGCTAAAATGGCACCACATCCGTCACTTTTTGCTAAGGCCCACGAGCTCCGTCATCCCCCATTGGCCAATTTAAGGCCGTCCACGTCTCTCATTGGAGTAGGCAGGCTTCCGCCTCCTTGTTGTTGCTGCCCTTCCTCTCAACGCTTAATCGCTCGGAAGGGCCTCTTTTCCCTCAAACAGGCTCTCCGTAGCCGCTGCGCATGTCATTTCCTGCCCTGCTTCCGCCTTCTTTTCCCTTTCATGAAAACCTCTCGCGGCCTTCTCGAGCTCTGATTGGGCTACAAGCTGGTCGGTCACGAGTCAAGTGGTACGATTTCATCATACGCGCGAAACTTCCGAAACTTCGCGCGACAGCCGATTGGCAGACCGCGACGTCAGTTACTGTCTCTTCGTCCTTTCCTCGCCCGTCTTACTCGAACGCTAGGTCGAAGCTCCACCTCTCTCCAGGGGGCGGAGCCTCACCCAGAGGCGTTTCCTGGAAGGAGTGCCACCACCGAGCTCTTCGTAATCTGTTTCAATTTTCTTCCCACCCCCTCCCGTACCCACCATCATTCCCGCGGCAAACCCCGCCTTGCTTTGCTTGAATAGTCGGAGGACACATCATTCACTGCTAGTACCGCCTTCCGGAGTTTCCTTCAGGCTTCGTGATTGGGCAGAGCGGCAGGAGGCGTGTCCCTGGGCTTGGGCCGTGTCGGCGCAGCTCCCTCCCTTCGCCAACCCTTTGGCGGTCACCGGTGGGGTTAGGCTGTCTCGTCACCGACTTCGCTGCCCCCGCCCCGCCCACCCCTCCGGCACCACTTAGGTTCGCCTTCCCCGTCAGGCAACATGAGCGGTAAGGAAGGGACCATCGTGGCCGGGCGGGGGGCGCCGCCTTCTTTCTCCTTTTCCCGCCCCGCCCAGACCAGCCCCCCGGGCGGGGGGGAGATCCGAACGGGGGAGGGGTAACGATTCTGGGGAGGGGAAGCCAGCCACAGGAGCCGTGGTAGGGGAAGCCTTTTGGGGGAGGGGCCCCGAGAAGGGGAGCGGGGCTTGCTATGGAGGGTGGAGGAAGCGGCCATGGGAAGGGAGGGCAAGCTGCCTCAGGGAGGAGGAGGATCGGGCGGGACCAGGTGGGGGCTGGAATTTCTCCGCTGGAAAGAAGCAGCAGAGCCGGATGGATCCTCCGTCTACCTCTCTCGGGTGGTGGTGCTGCTGCTGCTGTGCGAGGTTGGGAGGGAGACGCAGGCGAGGCCGGAGAAGGAGGGAGGAGGAGAGAAAGTAGCAAGGGAAACGTTTAAAAAGCCTCTGTGTGTATGTATATGGTGCCCTCCCTTCCTATTCCGCCATCCCATCCCCCACTTCCTTGAATCCTTGGAGGGAGGGAGAGGGCTTCGGGCCATGTGCAAAGTGCCTCTCTCCCGGGTGAAAGGGGGAGGTGGGGGGAAGGGCCAAACTTGCAGTTCCGGAGAGGCCCTGCGTTGGCTTCCCAGGAAGGCCGGAGGCACTTCTGAGAAACGATAAGGCCTTGTTTGGTACCGTGCCCAAAATATGAAGAAATCCGCCTTTCGGTCGAAACTTTGCTTCTGCTCTTGGGGGGAGGGGGGGAAAGAAATAAAAAAAAATGCAAACCCGCAGGGGCAACTCCAAAGATTAGGCTAGGCCTCTTTTCTCCCTCTCTCAGATTCCGATGCAAAAGGGAGGCGTCGTCGTCGTCGTCTCCCCTTCCCCCTTCATGATTATTATTACCATTGGCGTGTGGGATGCCGGGCCACTTAAAAAGAAAAAAAAAGAGCCCTTGGTTGGGAGAGGAATTTTAAAGTCGGAAATCGTTACGTTTGGCAGGCTTTGCTTCTGTGTGTACTGGGTGCAGAACTCCGTGTCGAACCAGCTGCGAGTCAGAAGTTTGGGGAGTGACTCATGCAACTACTTCCCCCTTTTCCTCCCAGCCTTCAGAGATGCGTTTTGCACCTGCCCTTTTACCCAGAGAAGCCCCTGTCTAGGTCTTGCCCTGCTCTGCATGAAGAGTGGAACCAAAATGGAGCTGGGTTTTTTTGGGGGGGGGGGTTGTGGAGGGAAGGAATAATAGCAACTCTTCAGAGAAAACGAGTATTTTCGTGACAAGATAGGTTCTTTTTTTTTTAGTGAGTGTAGCCGCCTTTACCTCAGAAAGACCCTTGTTAAGAGAGTCTCCCCCCCCCCCCCAAAAAAAAAGCTGTAAACAGATCTCTGGTATTTATTTAATATGCATTGAACAGGCTTCAAATCCGGTTGGTTTTTGCATCATCGGCTTGAGGAAGTGGCAGAGGCAGTGTGGGGTGAGGGAGAAGGCTGTAAATATGACACAATACAGATATCCGCCTAGCAATTTTGATCCTGGGATGTTTTCTTTTTATGAATATTTGTGAATGTGTACTGTAGCAATTAATAGTAAAATCTGATTTGGTCATAAAAGCCTCTCTTTCTCGGTATTTTATTCTTACTTATTGTTGACAACAATTCTTCATGATCACACTGCCCCACTTTGTTTTCCTTGTTGATGAGCAGTGCATACACTTTATTCGGGATGCTAATGCAAAGTTGCTCTTTGAATTTTAATCATAGTTATTTGTTGTACTTGCATCTTTGGCCTTTATTCAAAGAGATTGGAGAATACAGTAGTATATCCTTTCTCATTATTTAAACAGTCATGTAAAATGGCTTGTTTACTGTTTATTAAAAATGTGAGCATAGGATTTTTGTAGTTACATTTGAATTGCTCAGTAGATTACACTGTCTTTATTGACACTTTATATTTCTATGTTTTCTTTACCACTTTTCCTCTTAAGGACTTTAACTATGGTTAGTTCATTAGGGTGCTAGATTACTTTAAAGGCAATTCTAAATGCAGTGTGTACGTGTGTATTCCAAAGTATATCACTTAAATGCATAATCTATAGTCATAATGCTTTACTTTCTGTTAAGTGTGCCACTTTATTTAACATCTGCTAAAGGCCTTCAATTTTAAACCTGTATTTTTAAATAAAAAATGCTGGAGATTTCTTGCTGCCCAATACCCTCAACTTATGATCCACAACTGAGCCCAAAATGTATGTTGCTAAGTAACAAATTTGTTAAGTGAGTTTTGCCACATTTGCCATGTTTCTTAAGTGAAACACTGAAGTTGTACAATCAATAACATGGCTGTTAAGTGAAACCAATTTCCCCATTGACTTTACTTGTCAAAAGGTTGCAAAGAGTGATCACATGACCCTGGGATACTGCAACTATCATAAATGTGAGTCAGTTGTCAAGCATTTGAATGTAAATTGCATGACCATGGGGATGCTGCAATGGTCATAAGTGTGAAAAATGGTCAGAAGTCACTTTTCAGTGCCACTGTATATTTGAATGGACACTGAGTGAACTGTTGTAAATCGAGGACTACTGTATGCTACATAGCATGGGATGATCTAATGCTATTTTTTTTAAATAAGCTGTGAGTCTTTTTGCTTCCTCGTGCTTTATATAATTTATTTAACTCATGTATTCTTTTTTTCTTTCTTATCCCCTAATTTCCATGCAGATCATGATATTTCACAAGACATGGTTGTTATCAAGACTGAGAAGGTGGATGAAGGCTGCAGTAATGATGGAGGAAACTGCGAGGCCCAGGTAAGTTTTAAGAAGGAGAGATGGGTTGGGGGATAAAATATCTCAATTTGCAGTAGAAAGATACCTTTGTTTTTTAATATATGTGGTGATGGAACGTTCTCTTCTTTTTCTTTGAAAAAGGTTGATTGCTCATTTTTGCAGTTTTAAAAAATCTTCAATATTTTTGCAATCCTCTATAGTTAAAGCACAGTTGAAAAAGTGATAATAATCTTACAGTCCTAGAGTTAGGGGATGAGTAAATTTAAGACAGATTAGGTTAACAGAGTAACAGAGTTGGAAGGGACCTTGGAGGTCTTCTAGTCCAACCTCCTGCTCAGGCAAGAGACTATACCATTTCAGACAAATGGTTGTCCAATCCCGTCTTAAAAACTTCCAGTGTTGAAGCATTCACAACATGTGGAGGTTAAGGGTTCATCAAAATTTTAGAAGTATTTCTGTACTTCCTCATGAAATACTGTTGGAGCGTAAAATTGTTTAATGCAAGTTCAAAGTGAATATTTTTGAGTAAAATAGTCTAACCTGAGTGATGGGATGTTTATTTTATTAGATGTTGGTTGTTAATGTCTTATGTTGGTTAGACCAGTGTGTACAGTCCCTGCTTTAGGAGATTGGTAAATCTTCTGTTAATTGCCTTCTTTCTTGTGCTCCTTCCCAATTGCTGTTGTTTTCTCCTGTCATCTGGGATGGCCAGATACTTGACTTCTCCTGTCTTGTTCTTTATTTCCTGACAGGAGTCTCAGCCTTCTCCTCTGGCCCTGCTAGCAGCCACATGCAGCAGGATTGAATCTCCCAATGAGAACTCTGATGGTTTACAGGGGCAACAGGGAGGCTCAAGTGAACTAGACCTTGCTGCTGCAACTCAAATCTCCCAAAGTGCAAATGGCTGGCAAATAATTTCCACTGCTTCTGGAACGTCTGATTCTCCCAAAGATTTGGGGAATAGCGGCAATGAAGACAACGATTCATCATCCAAAAACCGAGCTGCCACCACTGGGCAGTATGTGGTTGCTGCCACCCCAAATATGCAGAACCAACAAGTTCTGACGGGCTTATCAGGGATGTTGCCGAATATTCAGTATCAGGTGATTCCCCAGTTTCAAACTGTGGATGGGCAACAGTTGCAGTTTACCACAGCTCCCACTCAAGTGAGTGTCCAGCAAGATGCCTCTGGCCAACTGCAGATAATTCCAGGAACTAACCAACAGCTCATTACAAACAGGTCTGGCACAGGCAATATCTTGGCTGCCATGCCAAATCTTCTGCAGCAGGCTGTCCCCATTCAGGGAGTAAATACTCTCTCAGGGCAAACCCAGTATGTCACCAACGTCCCCCTGGCTTTGAACGGCAATATCACCTTATTGCCTGTCAATAGCATTGCTGCCAGTTTGGCCCCCACATCTCAGTCAGTTACTCTAAGCAATTCTAGCTCTCCGGAGAATAGCTCTCAGACAGTTTCTGTCACGTCAATCAGTTCCTCAAGTGTGGCTGCGACTCAAGCCAATACCGCCTCTTTTTTCACCAATGCTAACAACTACAGTGCCACTACCACCACCAGTAATTTGGGCATCATGAATTTTTCTACTAGCGGCAGCGTGGGAACAAACGTTCAGGTGCAGGCGCCAGGGAGGACAAACAGCACTCAGAATGCCGATGCTGTGCAAGTTGCAGTCCAGCAAGGACAACAGAAAGATATTGATCAAAACCACCACCAGCAGCAGCAGCAGCAGCAGATCCTAGTGCAGCCTCAACTTGTTCAAGGAGGACAAGGCAGCCAGACCTTTGCTCCTCAAGATGCCCTGCAGAACCTGCAGATCCAGGCCCTCCCCAACACTGGTCCGATCTTCATTCGAACGCCCACTGTAGGGCCAAATGGACAAGTCAGCTGGCAAACTATTCAACTTCAAAACCTTCAGGTCCAAAATCCGCAAGCTCAGACAATCGCTTTGGCTCCCGTGCAGGGGGTGTCCCTGGGGCAGACGGGGAGCACCAGCACAACACTCACACCGATAGCTTCGGCCTCTCTACCCAGTGGCACGGTCACTGTAAATGCCGCTCAGCTATCCTCTGTACCGGGCCTTCAGACCATCAACCTTGGGGCCCTGGGATCTGGCATCCAAGTTCATCAGCTGCAAGGGCTCCCTCTCACCATAGCCAATGCCTCTGGTAAGTAGCATGTTCTCATAGTGCATGTTGTTGGTTTCCATGTACATGATTCATTTTAAATTGTTATTGAAACAAAGTTTTCATTACTGAAGGAATAAATTGGAACATAAAGAACAAGTATACTGAAGGTTGGACATGAAGAAACAAGCCAAACTGCATTTCTAATTCTTTTTCACATAACAGTTTTTAAAACATTTTTCTTTTAAGGTTATGTGCATCTGTCAAAAGTTGAAGTGGGCTACCCTCAGAACTTTTAAAAGTATAGTGAAGAGGTGTATCTGCTGTAATACCTGCTGTATTTTTTTAAAAAAAGTCTGCCAAGAATTATCCGTTAAAACAATATATGTTTCTGTTGCTGTGCTATATTTTTTTTTACTGAGAAATAATGTTCAAGTTGGATTTAGATGGTCATTCATGCTATGAATGGCAACTGTGAAGAATTAGTCATTTAGCATAACTAGGTACAATATTGTATGTAGAAAAGCTACTGTAATAGATCCCAGAACCATTTTAAACTAGGGACTTGTGGCAGTGTGCCATTATTTTCCCACTTTGCTTACCTTGGGGTAATTCTGTGAGATTTTGCCACTTCAAAGAAAAATTTTAAACATGTTCATACATGTTTAGATTCCTATCAATATCATCTGATGGAGAGACAACATACAGTATGTTATGGCAGCTTTGTGTACTGTGTGGCCAAACCCCAATTTATGTGGAGCCTCAAAAATTATTCGGTACTGAATGCAGTAACCTGCAAAGAGAGCTAGATTGGAATCTGCTAATCTAGCTGTCAGGCACCTTTCTAGTTGGATAAAATATAGGGAAGGAATTTTAAGGCTGAAATATAACATATAACACATTCGGTTATATGGAATAAGGCCATAAGGCAGCAGCTCCTACACATTTGCATGTCATATGTGAATATCTCTGAAAAGATTTGAGTGTACGGTGGATGTGAAAAATTGAAAAAATGGGTCTTCTGCTGTAGCCTTTCTTAATTAGTAACCTTCCAAATGTATTGGAATTAACAACTTTCAGAATTCCTACCTGGCAAATCTTGTGGTGTCAAAATCATAACACCAGGGTCATCAGAGTAAAGAAGATTGAAGAACAAAGAGTAAAATATATTATGTCCATAGGGTCTTATTGTTGTATTCTCCCATATGCCAAGCAATTGGCTCTGCAAAATGTTCATTAATATGAGGTCTTTTTTTCTTCAGGTCCTTATGATTGCATAGTGTAACACAAGATGATTAAACCATTAGAAATCTTTGAATTCATAGTTTCCAAAATTCATTTGAAATGGTTTATGCATTACTGATTCCCTAATTATTCAATAATTTTATGTGGGTAGAAGAGTAAACATTTACAAGTAAAATCTTGTAATTTGAGGATCGCACACAGTGGGCAAAAAGATAAGAAAACGCAAGAAATAATTTAAATGAAGTAGGGGAATAATGCATGCACATTGAGTCAAAAGAGCCATTGATCTCAAGGCAATTTCTGGATGGACAGTTTTGGACATACTAAGTTTTTATGCTGAATTATAACTCAAGCTGATGCTAGAGAATTAAGATTAAACTTCTAATGTCTGGAAACATCTCTTAATGCTAAGGAATGACTGGCCCATGAAAGTAGTACAGAATGTGCTTTTAAATCATTGTGTGGTGTTTGCAGAAGGTCAAACTGTTGTATTTGAAAATGTTTGAAGACGGTTGGTTGAAAGACTAGGCACCCCTCCACTATGCTGCAGACTTCGCATGGATGAAGATAACAGAATAAAGTTGCCTTGCAGAACAAAATGGGGTATGGGCAGGAAGATACTTATTTAATTTATGGTATTTATTAGAGTATTTGATATTTATTAAGCAGATAGTCAAAGATTCACACAATTAAGCAAATGTAAAGTTATAGGAGATTTTCATTTTTACTGTATATATGATTTTGGATTTTTTTCATTGCAGTGTACTTTTTTTCTTTATTTGGATGAATTGCAAGGATGTGGCTACTAGTTCTGTTGCTTCTGTGAATGTAGGGATGAAGTTCAGTGTATTGACATTCATTCTTTTTCTTGCTTACTTTATAGCAGTTTCCTAAACCGACCACCCTGGATAACAATTAATTTATGAGAAAACCCATTTATATTGAGAATATGAGGTTCAGGAAACTTGCATTATATTACAGGTGTTACATTATGAGTTTCAGTTACGATTTGTGTGTGTGTGTGTGTGTGTGTGTGTGTTATGCATAAAACTATATACAGTTTTGGAATCCAGCAACTTTTATTTGTGGCGAATTCTACAAACAGAAATTGTAAAACAGAAAAAAAATATTCTCAGCCTTCTAATTTTTATAAAATTTTGTAATTAGAATTGGAAACCGGAAAGTGTTGGCTTGTAAAGTTTTCTAAAGTGTAATGTTTCCCAGTTTCCCGGTACCATCCACAAAGGCTTGGCCGAAGACCCAATATGCCTGTAGAAGTTGCCACCAAATCGTTATTTTTAATGTGAGTTACTCTTTGTAGAAAAGTCAGTTTGGCGCAATAGTCATTTGTAACATCAGTAAGAGTTTGTAGCATTAGGTTACCAACCAAGAAACCAACTGGGTCAAAAAAAGGCAGCCTGGTGATCTTGGGCCAGTCCCCCTCTCTCAGCACTAGGAAGCAGGCAATGGCAAATTATTTCAGAAAAGCCTTGCCACGAAAACCACAGCAACTAGTTCAGTCAGTTGCTAGGAGACGACACCGACTTGAAGGTGCACACAGACACACAGAGCACTCCCCATATATTCAGTAAGTTTAATCACATTAACTTTATTTCAGGAATGTTTGATCCCACCCATTTTATTATGGACCTATCAATTTTGAAGAGAGCGGTTGATGGCGTATCATTTAAGTGCCAAGTGCCATTTAAGTGCTCAGTTTGAACAGCGTGAATGTTTTATGTTTTCGGCCTAGGCCTTGCAGTTTTACTCCTTAGAGACCACTCATAATTCTATATTATGTACTAATGCTGATGGTCTGTATAGCACTCATTGCAACAAGTTTTAATTTAGCAATGGAGGGTATGCATAATTTTAAATAATTAAAACATGGGATAAACATAGTACAGCTATAAACTTATGTTTAAAATGTCTTTAACATTCAGAATAGTGTGAAGATTTACCCTTTAAAATAGCTACAAGTAATCCTCAACTTACAACAGTTCGTTAGTGACCATTTGAAGTTAAAACGGCACTGAAAAAGGGACTTAGGACCGTTTTTCAGACGACCGTTGCAGCATCCTCATAGTCATGTGAACATAATGCAAAAACTTGACAACTGGGTAACACACATTTATGACAGTTGCTGTGTCCCCAGGGTCATGTGATCACCTTTTGCGACCTGATAAGCCAATGGAGGAGCCCGATTCACTTAACAAGTGTATTACTTGCTCAATAACTGGCAATTTACTTAGCAACTGAGGCAATTCACTTAACTGTCTCACTTAGCAACGACAATTTGGGGCTCAGTTGTAGTCGTAAGTTGAGGGCTATCTGTATTTGTAAGTAGAAAGTATACTTAAGTTGCAAAGATTCCACACTGAAGATAAAGAATGTGATGCAATAGATTTGTGTCATTGTTCTCTAAAACTAGCTCTTGGCACTTAAAACCTGGTGCTGTTTTTTGAAAGAGATTTGATAAAAGATCATGAAAATATTTATCTTTGGAAAGCCTGTTTTGTTTTGTTTTTGTTCCTGCTTTGCAGTCATTTTGGAGGGCACTTAAACATTATGTTCTCTAACTGCACTTTAGAGCTTTAGAGTTGGTGGTTAAATATTGCCTGGCTTAAGTTACTGTTTCCTCCACAAAGAATAATTATAGGGTTGGTTTTTTTTGAAGAATTGTGTTTCGTGGTATGCTATTTATCGAAGTTGTTTTCGTTTTTGAAACTCTTAACGAAGCTGATGATAGACTTCCTCATTAATAATTCTGGATTAATGACTACTCTGATTTTCTTTTCACAGCACTGGTGGTTTTCAAGTTAAGGTTAAAAGCGATATGATTATATTACTTATTTGTTTGGTATTTTTTTAAAAAACCTTCATTTGGAGGTTGAAATAGTTTCTTAATGAGAAGTTAAATTCTCTATCCCCTATTAATTCCATGTTTATATTTAGTTACATTTAAAATTAAAAAAATATTGACCTAATTCTAGTAGATCAAGAATAAGAGAAAAGAACAATTAAAAGCAAAGATTTCAGAAATCTTATCACAAGGTCTGGAAACTTACTGTTTAAAATATAAAAATGGAATATAAAAGCTGTCTTTTGTATTTTTTTCAAAAATATTTTTTTCAAAGTCTTCTGTATCTTTTAGCATTTGCATTCATGCAGCCTTGAACTTTGCTTTCTATATTAAGCCTATAAGGCAATCTAAAGGCCAGGTACACACAAAAACACACACACGTGTGTGTAATATGTTATATTTTGGGTTTGTAACTTTCCACATGGACCAAATTTTAACTTTTAATGGTTCATTCAATTATTCCTTCTCTAATTCTCATTGAAGATAGCAGTAGCTTTTTTGTATTCCAAAATTTAATAAAATTAAGAAATGTTCAAGTATGTCTATAGTACTAAGTGATTTAATCATTATAACTCTCACTTCCCTAAACTCTCAAGATCTGTTATTTTCTAAGGGGAGGGTAAAAACAGGGTGGTAGCACATAATTCCAGTTACCTTGGAATAATTGGGAGTTCAGACATTTCTCTTTACCATGTAGCTGTGCTCTTCAGTTAACGTAGGAACTTGTAACCTGTAATCCTTAAATCCATTTCTCTCAGTTCCTAAAGCCAATTCTGACAGGCTTGACAAGAAAATCTACAATTAGATGTCCTACTGTACTGAGTTGGGAAACAAAACTATAGTATGTATAACTAAAATATATTAAAGACAGCTTTACACAACCCTTCTCAATGGAAACCTAGCAAAAATGGAGAATCTAGACCCTACTAATATG